TACAGATATATTTATTAGATTGCACCAAAGGTAATATTCGCAATGGGGGAAGCAGGTCCTGTCGCAGAAAAGTGTTATTAAGTATAAATGATTTTGTTATAGGCTGAAATTTCTCTGAGGCAGCATTTATTTTTTGATATGCTGATACTAAATTTTATTACTTATAAGGATCGTTTAGTATTCTCTGTGTGAAGTCCCAAAGTGATTTGGAGATAGGAGCTTTATTTCCTGTTAAACACAGTACTGTGGTGTTAATGCTCGTTTGGGCTTGTGATAATGGCATACTAATAAGTGATTCATGTCTAAGTATGCATTTCTTCCCCTTGTGAGCAACAGGACTCAAATATCACATGCAGTTCAAAGGAAAACAGATTCCTAGTGAAATAAGGTTTTATGTGAGAATATGGATATGGTTCTTATCTGGCTCTTGTTTTATCATTTTGACATTGCTTAATTTATCCCATTAGCAGAGAGATTGTTTCCTTTCCTCTTTAATTTGGCTGTTTATATATTTGCAGAAACAACCCACATAAGAAAGCCATTTTTAAATTTTAATACTGGCATCATGGATGAACAAGGTTTTCATAGAGTGGCACTCTAAAATGTCCATAAACGGCAATTCAGAGGGAAGTATCAAATTTTCTAAATATTAAATCTGAAATGTAAACTACCACTGAATATTATACAAAGATTTGGTTATATGCTGGAGATAAAAAAAACAAAAAATATTTTTATTGTCAATTAAAATGCTATTTTGAGATGCAGTACAATATGACTATCAATCTAGTTATCTTTTTATGTGTTTGTTATTTAATGTTTTGTTAAATTTGGTTGATTATTTTGAGCTTAACTACACAGTAGTAAAACCCATCAAGAATCCTGTTGTTGTTTTGGATTGTGTGACTGTCCTTTCTCTTCTCTGGTTCTAGTTATTTTTGTAAGGTTTTTGTTCTCAAATGTAATTCCACTTGGGTTTTAATAACTTGCTTTGATGATGGGAGCAGAGGACTGCATGAAATGAAAACAAGATCAGTAACAGTAACAAGAAACAGTAACAGAAGTGAAAAAATAATATTTAATGCTGAATGCTGATCCTTCTTTTAGGACTACACAATGTTGTACTTGCAGCAATCTTGCTTAACCTCTGAGGTAGTCGTCCGTGTTTGAGATTTTACCGTGTTTCCCACTAAATTAACAAATTATGTCCTGTTATTTTTGTAAAATAGCCACGTAAACAATGCAGGCTAATCACGGGTTCATTATCTGTGGGACAATAAAATTGTCAAAGCAATTGAAATTCAAAAAGAAATGAGATACAATTCAAGAACGATATTTTTTTAATTGAAGATGATGTTCAATATAGAATAGCACAGGATTTTGCATGCAGGTAGTAAAAACAAATTAGAAATACAAAATGGGAAACACTGATCTAGATGTGGATACTTCTGAAAAAGACTTAGGTGTTCATGTCGACATGTCATTTCCATTTTGTAGATAACGTGTGGAAGCAATTATAAAAGGCAAACAAAATGCTAGGATGCACAGTTAAAATCAAGGGATATTATGTTAAAACTAATGCACCAGTAGAGCCTCAGTGTATTGTGTACAATTTTGGTCACCACATTATACATGAGATATCACTATTCTGGAATCAGTCTAGAGCTGAGCAACCAGATACACTGGGAGGCTTCAGAGAATGTTCTACACTGAGAAGCTGAAGGACCTCAACCTTTCTAGTCTGGAACAAAGCAAACTAAGAGGGGACCTAAAACCAGTATTCAAAATCCACAAAGGCACTTTGTCAACCCACTGGACTTCTTCAGTATCAACAGTGAAACATGAATCTGAGGGCACAAAGGGAAACTATGTGGAAATGGATTTATAACAGAGGACAAGAGGGGCTTCTTTGCCTTAAGGGTTGTGGAGTCTGGAACAAGCTACCCAGCCATTTTGTAAAAGCCAATACCCCGTTTTTTCATGAAATGACTGAAAATGGGCCAAATGGCTTCGTCTAACTTGTGACCCTTCTTAATGAAGAGTTTTGTCTTCGTTAGAATGCGGAAGCTACGCAGCAATTGTTGAATAAGATTTAAATGGAGATGGAGGAATGGCCAATTGGATTGCATGCCACATTACTAATCCTGCTGTTTTACTTGAGGCTTTAGTCTGCTCATTTATAGCCTTTGCAAAACTGAGCCGTGAAAATGGCAGTGGTACCTTTGCAACAGCTTACCAAGGTGATCTGTGAGATTGTCTCACTGTTTATCCTGCATCTGCAAAGCAGTTATTTCGCTGGCCTGTGGTACACAGCACAGTCTGTCTTAGCTCTCTGTGCTTTGCAGTGATATCACTGCTTTCACAGATGTTCACGAGGACAGTCAGAGAAAAAAAAAACATTGCAACAGCACTGCCTTTGCTACCATAACATCAAAGAAACTGAGGATCACATGAAAAGCTCAAGGTACCCCTCTTCCTTACTCTAGCAGATTAACAGAATGCACTGTCCTTATCTGTAGTCAGCACAGTCAACCACAACCCAAGCACAAAATGCAAAGCAGTCTTGAAGGCAGATCTTCTTTGGGGACTAAACTGATTTACAAAGCAGTGATAAACACAGTGGGACATGATTAACACAGCTGCAAGAGCATATTCATATTTTTAAAAACAAAACGCTCAAGGTGTAAGCGTGGTAAATTATTTACAAATAGGATTTGCTGGTTGACATTGTTTTGCATATTGCCTCTGGTGTTTAAGATTAAACATTAATATTTTACTTCACGTATTGTCACACACTTCTCTTTATTTTGTGTGCGTTCACAATTCCACGTATTCATCTCCATCTTAATTAACTTTTAACAGAAAATAGTTCCTTTTAAAATCAAGTTCTGAATTACCAGGTTTCTATAAATGTCCTTATACTCGCATGGAAAGGATTAAAACTTGTTTTAAAGTTCATGGAGCCTTTATTCCTTTATTTATTTGCCCTTTTTTGTCCCATCATACACGCCGGTATTGCTCTCTATTCATAGATCATTAGACTTAAAACTAAATTACTGAGATGAAAGAAATTAATATATTTTAGTTTGTCATGTTAAGGGTGGATTATCTGAATTGCACAAACACATGATTATATCTTATTGAAGCTGATATGTTGTATACCCATATGCTCTAGAATTAGAAGTTTCATATGATGTAATCTCAGCTTGGAAGTGAAAATCCAAGCCAGCAGATCCTGCAACCCAAAGCAGTAATGACAATTTCTCAATTCTTGTAACCTAACAAGCAGACAATTTTTTATTAGAACTGTTTGAGATTCCTCTCTGTCTCTCCGTATTTTTGTCTGTCTGTCTAAAGGGAAGCATCAGTAAGGATTATGGCTTTTTAAGAATATGCACTCTATGAATTCATATTCACATCCATCATTCATTGTATCTAATTTCTTTGTTTTATTGATAGGACTCTTAAGTGTATGCTTGCAAGACAAAATGGTTTTCGGCAGTATCTTTTTTATAATGTGAGTCACCAAATATGTCTGTTCTAGGCACAGGATAATGTTGCATATCATCTGGTGTCACAGAATACTTTTAATAATGTTGATTTAAGTGCCAAAAGAGTTGCTTATTTTGTATCAACCCCTAAAGCCTCTTTAGTGCAGATAAACTTGTAGTGCTTTCATTGAATGTGATGGAACAGCATTCAAACTCACAAAGCATCAATTTGTCATTACAATGCAGATGTTCCTTAGGGGCACAATCACAGATGTTTTTCCATGCCTTGTAGCTCCTGGTGCTCTACTTAAACAGCAGATACATTGTTCATCGTCTCATGCACTCATCTCCCATTGCTCCTTGTGGCTTCATATCAGCAGAAGAACACAACACAACAGATTAGGAGCCTTATTTTCCCTTGAACGCAATTTTAACACAGAGAGGACCAGAGCCAGAGCAGCTGTAGCAGAAGAATATTCTTTTTTAGATTCGTTTGGAAGACTACAGGCATTGCAGTGAATGTAACTTATTTTGGATTTCACATTTACAGTATATTTCTCTACAAACAAATTGCTCATTTGAACCTTGCATAAAGAAAAAACAAACAAACAAACAAACAAACAAAAAAAGGAAGTTGCATTTTTAGTTGCTTAGAGGCCAGAATTGCTGCCTTGAAGCACTGAGGTCCTGGGTTCAGTTCCTGGGGTGCTGTCTGTGTGGAGTTTGCATGTTCTCTCTGTGTCTGTGTGGGTTTCCTCCAGGTGCTCTGGTTTCCTTCCACAGCCCAAAAACATAATGGTAGATGATTTGGCTTCTGGAAAAAATGATCCCAGGTGTGAGCCCTGCGACTGGTGTCCTGTCCAGGCCATGTGCCCATTGCTTGCTGGGATAGGCTGTGGCTCCCCTGCCATTTCCCTTGAATTGGATAAAGTGGTTAGAAAATGGATGGACTCGAGTGTTATACTATAGTGTTCTTCAAAGTGTTTAATGTTTTCAGTACACTAATGCACAAAGGTCTAATGCAGAGAAATGTATAAAAACATGCTTTCTCTGTATAATTATGCAGTTATTGGAAAACATATCAATTAATATCTCTGAGTTATGTGTTCCTAAAAAGGAAAATTACAGAATGTGTTGACCCTTTTTACTGTAAGTCTGCTGTTTAGAATTTGAGCTGGGCATCGTTAAAAATACGATTATCTGTCTAGAGAGAAAGAAAGAGGGAAGATGAGAGAGAAAGGCTTAGGGATTCATTAAAGGACACGTTCTCTTTCTTTGGATTCCTTTTCTTTTTTCATTGAACAGTCATAACTTGCAATAACACAAACGCAGGTCATATCCTCACATCTTACAAAAAAGGTAAAAAAAAAAAAGTGCATTTAAAACCAGCGCATTGTTTCACAGATCAGCGTCACCTCATTCCATACAGTCAGTCGGGTCAATAGGAACCATTACCCAGGCCACAGACCTCCCAGTGGGTGGCTGACTGTATCTCCCTCTGTTATTCCTTAGCGGATCAGACTGTGGAAGGACCAGTCGGAGGCCACTCTGCAAGAACAGTGGCTACGTCCCTGGCTAGCCTCCACTCTGTTCCAGAAGGGGAGATCGGCAGGGCATCCACCTGGGGTTCTGTGGACATTTTAACCAAACACTATTACCCAGATCTTGCTTTTGGAGACAGTCCGCTATTGGACTTTCCATTTCTCAAGGGTGGCTGCCCAGGTGAGTTTAAATTTCCCCTGGATGGCTGTGTCTCCTCCCAGAGAATACAAGTGGGGAGACTCAGTTGTGTGCGGAAACGGGAGCTGCACACATTTGTCCTCTGAGGCCCCTGTCTGTGAGAAATCGCAGTTAGGGAAAGCATACATTTTTTGTAACACAGCCCGAAGCAATGGGTTACTTCCCGTCCATTACAAAAAATCTGCAAAAAAAGTGCTTCCTTCCATCGAAAAAGTAATGGCGGATGTCTTTATGGGTCACCATCACTGTGAGTTTTCTATGTCACACTGTGAGGACTGCTTTTGAATCCTCTTGATTCCATCTACAATTTCCTCTTTGAAAATCCATATTAAGTCCATTTAAAGAGTCCATTTTAAACCTCAACATTATGTTCAAACAAAAAAAAAATATAGCATTAATTTATTACCCGTTTTCCATACCTACTGTATTTTGACTTTCACTGACCTATTCATACTTTTTGAAAATATTCAACAAATTCTAATCTGGAGTAAAAGCTTGGAAGGTTTTCCTGTAACATTTAAGTTGTCTTCCTGTTCTCTTCTTTTATTTTATTCTTATTCTAGTTTAATTTATTTGTAATAATTACCCTGCTCCTGAAGTGACTGGAGGTGAATTTACTCTTCTGCCCTTTTCTCTTCTTTATGCTCCTGGGAGCTTTGCTCTGTGGCATTGAAGCAGAAGCTGGAATGGTGTGTTAGCCGTGTTTTTTCTTCCTCTGTCCTAATGATGACCTGAACGAATTCCTCCTGCAGACAGCTATCTATGTTTCCCTCTTTTAATGTTGAAAACATTCATGTTCAGATACAGTACACCATGTGGAGTGCTTCCCAGAATGTGTGTGGAATGATTCTCTTTCTAATTTTATGCATATGTAATGCAGAACATTACTGGGAAAATACTCACAAAATGTAACATTATGAATCAGGGGAAAAAAATAATTTCTTCTTCTTTGACGCATTGTTCCCCCACCCCACGCTGGCACCATGTCATAATCAGCCCTTAAGGATATGTGTTCATTTTCGGCAGCTGCCCTGTCACCGTTTTCAGTGACCCGGAGGATTGGTCACCCTTATCAAAACCGGACGCCCCCAAAGAGGAAAAAGCCCAGGACATCTTTCAGCCGGGTGCAGATCTGTGAGCTCGAGAAACGCTTTCACCGGCAGAAATATCTGGCTTCTGCTGAGCGAGCTACTCTGGCCAAGGCCCTGAAGATGACAGACGCACAAGTCAAGACCTGGTTCCAGAACAGGAGGACAAAGTGGCGGTAAGACTCCTTGAGGGGCGATCCCTTCGCTGCGTGCCTGCAGTGCCTAGCGTGTTCTTTGCATGGTACCCTGCTATTTCTTCAGTAACACCCAATAAGAAAGTCTTAAACGC